AGAAATGATAGATCAGTACAATAAGTTCCCACTTATCTCCTGCTTACCAGATCCATTAGTTCTACCTTCACCCCACAATGGGCATTGAATCCAGGGCCTCTCTGGTTCTATGTAAGCCCTCTACCACTGAGCCACACACTCCAACCCCTGATACCTCCGTCTTAAAGCAAGATTTAGCCCATATAAATCTCTTTCTTAAAACTTTCCAGAACTTCCTGTTACCTACCTACTGAAGTGCAAACTTCTCAACTAGTGACTCACTGAAGTTTCACTGGAATACACCCCCTATTCTGACTTCCATCCTTATTTCCCATTTGGTATCTGTGTAAAAAAAAAAAAAAGCTTGAGTCTAATTAGAGTATCTGTTTTTCTCAGCAGAAGACTCACAGTTTCCTTTCTATTTGCCTTTACTCAGGTCTATTTCCTCTACACATCAACTCAGTAATTTCCTCAGTAAACATTTACTTGGAATTGTCATTATTAATTTGGGTGCTGAGGGAGAAAAAGCAAGAGGGAAGATTGTCTGCCCCCAGGAAGCTCACAATCTACTAGAAGAGTCAAACACAGGATGCTTTTGAAGTGATGTGAAGATACAGAATGAGATGTACTAGACCAGTGATGGCGAACCTTTTAGAACTTTCAATGATAGAAAAAGCCCACTGTGGCACTTGTGCCGTAGATTGGCCACCACTGTACTAGACTCTGATGGGAGCACAGGAGAAAGATACTTAAGTGCCCAGAGGAAGGCTGGAGTTTGTGTTTGGAAGAAGTAAATGCTGAAAGTGTAAAGGAAGCCTCCAAAAGAGGAGAGGAAAAGTCAATTCAGGAAGAAAGCATGATAACAAAGAGAAACACAGCGGGAGAGACAAAATATTCATTGGAAACTACAAGTGGTTTGTATAATAAAAGATAAAGATTGAGACTGCCAAGTCCAAAAGAGCTGCCCCTCTCCTTCGTGAAAAAAGCCCATATATTCTGGGAAGAATTCTTCTATGAGTGTACTTAAAACATTCATGTTGAGCTATATTTATCTGGTTTTGAACATAAAATGTTAATATCAGTTTTCTTTAAATCCTTTACAATTTTTTATGCAATACTTTTAACCACAATAAGAATTTAATATGTTCTTTCTGAATGAAATTGAGGTAAAATCAGGCAAAGCTTGCAGGAAATACATGTGAATGAAAAATATAATCAATCTTCAAGTCAGAAGAAAATATTTCTGCAAACCAAGGAAATATCTAAAGTGAACCCATCACCAGATGTTCCTGCTTGTCTCTACCAGAGGGATCGATCATTCATGAGATATGTGGGCCACTTCAACACCATTTGACAGAATCTGCATGTCAAGTGTAATTCTGAACAATCTGTGGTGTTTTACTCAATGAGCTCAAGGGTTTCACTAGCACTTGGGGTAGGGGGGAGAGTACATAAGTTTTAGTTGAACTGAAACGTAAATGATATTCCTTAAAATCTACTGCAATTGTATGGAAGCACTAAAAACTATTGTATCACTAATTTCTATTATTTTAAGACTTAGTGAGCAATATAAAAATGTCTAGATTTCATAAACAGCTATTAAGTCCTGGAATGCTTTTTGAAACACAGTAGTTTGAAAGCAGTTATTATTAGTTTCCTGTTTTATTAAAATACTTAGTGCTCAAGTTCCAAACCAAAAAATAATATTCAAAAGTTGAATTATGTTTAACATTTTATTAAAACCATGCTTAATAGCCCTTTAAACTTGTATTTCTCTTTAAAACATCTTGTCTCCTCCCCTCTCTTTTCTTCCTTCTGCCTACCTGCAGTACTGATCATCTTTTCTCTCTTCTCTCTCCTCACACAGGTAAGGCTCATCGGTGATCACACTAGCTCCTATTATCCTTAGTCCAGTGCAGACAAACATAGTCAGCTGCAAAATCACATTCTGTGTCACCTCGTTTATTTCCTTAGCTTTCCTTCACTTTTGCTGTTGTTGTTCCTTGTATTATTTTAAGAATACAATAAGGAAAAAGTAAACAAATTCTCCTCTGAATTGACTTGAGAGGACTAGAAGCACAATATGCAGAGACACATGTATACACACTGCTGAAGGAAAAATAATAGTTACGTTTATTTTTTCTTCTGATTTTCCTAAAAAGCCCAAGCTAAATTACACTACATATTAGAAATTCATGTATTTGTCAAAATACAATTCATCATGTTTTAATGTCTCTACATTAAAACAGAGCCAGGTAAAAGAAAGAAATATCCAATGTAACTGAGAAGGCAATGGGAAAAAATTAGCCAAATCAGTTCTTCTCTGTATTAAGTGTTCCCTTGATTAGCTAATCAGTCTTCTTTTCTCAATTTCTAATTCTTATGTTGTCACAAGAAAAGTTTCATAAAACATAGCCATGGATGTCAGTTATAGCCAGAAAATTCCTTTTGAATACAAGTTTTAAAGATGAATGTGGACAGAATGTGATGACCATTAAAATGCTACTTAATCATACCACAATGTCAAACATATTTTTAAAATGGCAAAAACTGTAAACATTGCAAACAGAGCAATAAAACTATGAAAAACAATGTTGTTTTATTTTCTTTTGCTTAAAATAATTATAGAGAAGTATATCTTACCCATTACTAAAAGAAAAAAAATGTTAAAAGTAGAGCAATGACAAACCCATGGTGGATCTTATTAGCAAACCACATAATGGATATTCTATAGTATAAGTCTTTGGTCCCCTTGGAGTATATGCAATTTTGAACATTTTTAAAACTGTGTAAATACATGTAGTGCTCTTCTGAATAGTTTCCCTTTCTTAGGTTCCACAGATAATTATGTTCATTGATATGTTGGAAAATAGATTTTATACTGTTTCAAATGAATTTATAAGGGAATTTTAAAAAGTACTAGCCATTACCTATTAATATATTCTTGCCCCCCTCACTTTTTTCCTCTCTTTATTAAAGAGTAGGGATTTTTTTTAGATACTGCAAGTGAATTGGTTTAAGTCTGTCACCCAAAACACTGTTTTTATACTCAATAGGCATTCTATTATATTTCATTCAATATTTTCATTTACACAAGGGACTGTAAATTGAACACCAGTAATTTAGTGTTAAAGGTTGATGAGCTCTGAACTTTTTTAACAAACAAGGACAGAGCAGTTTTGCATGAATTGCACGAAGCATCTGCTGTGTGTCCAGAGAATTTCTGGTTGTCATTTCTTAGATGGGCAATAACCGAAATTATGAGTTTTTCACAGTTGTAAAAAATTCATCCATACTTAATTCAATAGTGACACACGGATATTTTCTTTGTGATGAAATCAAATGAGCAATTTTTCATAATATCATTTTTTAAAGCCATCTTGTAACATATAACTAAAGGGGTTTCGGTGTTCTGTTACAATAGAATAAAATTCTTCTGTTGCATTTCGAAGTCCAGCCTTTTTTTTTTTTTAACGTGCAGAAAGGTCAAATCCATTCCAAATAGAAACCTCATTCCTTAGAAATATTTAACATCTCGAATCACTTTCATTGACTTTAAATTCTGTCGTTTTCCCAGATTTGACAAAAACATTTTTTCTTTCTAATTGTTAACTAAATGCATCTATTCAAATGTGAGAAAATCACAAAAGAGTAAAATTAATTTCAAAGTATATGTTTGGTATTTTTACAGAGCTGGATTTCAGCATCTGGAGAGCTGCTATTTAGTCTATGAAAGCTACACCAGAGAAGCTGGGGAAATATGAACAGTTAGGAGGAGGGTCATTCCTAAACAAGTACATTTTCGGTTCCAACCTTCAAAGGTAACATTTTCAGCTTGATGGGCTTCTGGTGGGATACATAATTTGCCTCTTTCATTCTTAGCTTAGTTGAAATATAGTGGACTGTATGTCCACCAGGCCAAAGTATAAACTCACAATTTGTCTATTAAAGTCATATTTAATGAAAATGAAGAGGAATTATTACTCAACTCACTCTCCTCATTACAATTCCTAAAGAACTTTGGCGGGCATATTATCTCATAGACATCATGATCAAATGTTATTGTTTGCTTTATTATCTCAGTTGGATGGTTGGCTAGTCTAGAATGAAATAGGTTGAAGGCAATACTCAGCCTCGAAGTCTGAATGAGGTTCCCATTCAAATGATCCTGATTGTTTGGGGGTGGGGCGGGGTGATTAGTAAACCAACTGAGCTTACACTGCATAGTAAGCGTCTGGATGCAGCACATTTACATCTAACAAGAGACCCCAGAAAACGTGTGTGTGTTTCTTAAACCTTATGTTCCGAACAAAAGGCTATCTCAGCAACAGACAATCAGCACTGCATTGCTCCCTGGGATGCGAGCAACACACTCAACTGCACATTTCATTCTTCCTCAGCTCCCAGCGCCACAAAGCCCGTACTCTCTCTCCACTCCTGGGTCCCCAGATTGCTCCGTGGAGGGGGGTTGGGAAGGCTGGAGCCTAAAGTCTCAGCCAGCGCTCCAGCAGCTCTCACCCGGGGGCCCCGGGCGCTGCTTTCCCCTGCCCGAGCCGCCTGGGGGAGGTAGGGAGGGGATCCGGAGAGCTCGAGGGGACCGCACACCTAGACACTTAAGATTTTTATTTATTCACAGGGAGGCGGGGGAGGAGAACGGGGTTAAGGCAGATTTTCCTCCCGAAGTTGCCTCTCCTGGGCAGATAAAGTCGTTTTCTGGCTGGTTCTGGAGGGCCCGGGGAGGTTGCGGCGAGGTCCTGGCTCTCGGGGCCGGATCCCGTCCAGTCCATGGAGTCGCGGGGCAGCGGGCGCAGGGCGGACGGGCCGCGGCGGGGAGAGGGCCGGCGCCGGCGGGGAGCGGGCCTGGGAGGCCGGCCGGGGAGCGCACGGGCCGGCCGCTCCCTTCCCGTCCCAGGGCTGCGCGGAACGGAGCGCGCGCAGGGAGAGCGCCCAGGGCCCGCGCGCGCAGCCATGACCTCGAGGGCCCCTCCGGGCCGCCCGAGCGCGGCAGCGAGGCTGGGCGGCCGCCGGGGCCCGGGCCGTGTAACATGACCCGAGCGGCCGGCCGGCCGGCGCGGCCATTGAGCCCTCCCTGCCCATGAATCTCTGGCGCGTCTCAGCCCGCTCGCCTCCCGCCTCCTCGCTCCCCCTCCAGCACCGCGGGCTCCGTGCGCCTCTCCCTCTCCCTCCCGGTCCTCCCGCTGCCCGTCTCCTCCACCGCCCGCCTCTCGCCACTGCCTCCCGTCTGCTCTCCCGCACGGCAGCCTCGGTCTCTTTCTCCCTCTCTCCTTTGAAAACTGATCTTTGGCTCTTAGTGTGAAAGTGATTTGAATTTGGCTCGGCGGCGCTCTGCGCCTGCGCTCAGCCTCTGGCATGCTGGCTCCTTCCAAGCAGCTGTTTTGGGTTTGAAATTCCAACATGGCAGAGGCTGCAGTCCGTCTTCCCTTCAAAAACTTGGAATGATTTCAAATCATAGGCACCTTCACTTAACCCCGGCTTCCATTCATCAGCAAACACATCGGATCGATGCTACGCTAACCTATCGGGTTCTCGCTCCACGCGTTCAGGTAAGAGGAGCCTCGTAGTTTTCTACCATCTGTTTAAATTTGTTTTTGTTTTATTTTTAAAGAATATAAATAGATCCAAGACCTGTAATAAAAAGAGATCTCCGAGTTGTGCCGTAAACATGAAATTTAATTTGCATTCATTCTATTCTGTACGCCAACCTGCTGTCTAATTTCTCTGTACAAAGTAGCCTGAAACATTATAATGCATATTTTTGCTGCTTAATCATTGTAACAATAGTACGGGATTAAGACTTCGCGATTGCAAGAATCTCGTTTTTTGCTATGTTGGGCTTACTTATTACTATCTTTTTACTTCAAAAATTAAAAAAAAGAAGAAAGCGGAGCCTTAGGGTGGGGCTAGACTTTCTTCGGGAACTAACTTCTAAGTAAATAAGAAGTGTAAATAAGAATCTTGCACACACACAAAAAGTTGAGGTTAAATTACAATCTCGTGGCTGGGGGGACGGGAAAAATGTCAGAAGATCGGTTGCAGAAAAATGTAAGCACATCATCGTGGAGGGGGTACAGCGTGGTGGGCGTATTGTTGGCAAGGAACGGGAGAGAAAGATGTATAATTTAATGGTATATACAATCCACTGATCCTATTACCGTCCTCCCCGGAGCTCTTGTTAGTTTCAATGGGAGTGAGTGAAATTGACATGGACTTGCATTCCTGGTCATGTGCTTTTTTTCCTTTCTTTCTTCTCCTGTGATCTGAGATCCCCTTTTTGTTGATGTTGCTTTCCCCCTTAATTATATGCATGTAGGTTAAATGAATACCTGACGAAAGGGCCCACGTTTCAAGGCAGTGACATTTGATAGCTGAGAGGAAAAGTGGCTTTAATGAAAAGCAACCTTTGGAATTCCTGCTTGTGAGAAATCCAATTCAGCTTTTTGTGCTGCCAGCAAGAAATGATCAGTAGCACCAGTGTTTATGGTATGTCAGTTTTGGAATTTACTTCCTTTGCATCTAAATAGGAAAGACAAATTAAATAGCATGATAAAACCACTGAAGACTGTTAGGGAAACAGATGCTGATGATACGCTATTGCTTTACAAATATATATTTTAAATTTTAATCTGTCACCTTGCTTTTTTGTATTTGCTATCACTTGTTTATATATTTCAGTTTTGATTAATATATTACTTGAGTCCACTTTTATCAGTTTTAGCTGTAATCCTGAAGTTGCATGTTACTAGTAATTCACTATATAACAACTGAAGTCAAATGGTATGTAAATTAGTTAAACTCAGTGTGGGTTTTTTTGGGGGAAGGGCTGGGTGGAGAGGGAAGAGGGCGGGAGTGTGGAGAAAGATTGCTAACTAATGAAAGTATATGTATATGTACACACACACGACTGGATGAAAATTTTTTTCTTTTTTCTCAACCTATTAATGCAATTTGACTATCTGTTCTCTTGACAATTGTACTTTGTGGAGTAATCAGTTATGTGTGGTTTTGCTTTTTGGGGGTTGTGAAGACATATCTTTTACATGAAAATAAAATATATATTTTGAGTCAAAGTCCTTCATGTCTTATAAGGGACAGTGGCAGTTTTTTCCGTCTTGCCATTCACTTGTCTGCCTGTCAGCTCCTTTTACTTTTAACCTGTGACAGATTTAAATAATCAGCCACTGAAATTGACTTCATTTGAAATCGCTCTTTCCTCTTTCTTTACAAAAAAGAAAAAGGTCAGTTAAATGGAGTGAGAGCAGGTTTTCAATAGCTCTTGTGGTCGTGCTGTGTGTACACTTTGTGATATTCAATTAGGACTAAGAGGGAACAACAACAACAAAAAGATGGTAAAGTATTTTGCATAACGAAAGGATATGTCTGCTTTAAACTGTTGTTGTTGTTGTTGTTGTTACATTTACCCCACCTCCAAGAATTTCTCCGGAAAAGAGAAGGAAAGAGAGAATAGGAAAGAAAGGAAAGGGAGGGCAGAGCTGCTGGGCGCCTGTAGTGTGGCCCTGGTCCCTGCTCCCTCCTAACACAGATGTGAATACGAGGAAAGGGACTTCAAGACCCGTTGCGTGACACACACTTCTGGCTGATCTCTGGTGACTATAGAGCTAAACACACACCGCTCTTACACCATAGGAAGGAGTGGGTTGAATTTTGCATTTGGAACTTGTTGACTTTGAAACGATCAATAAGAAGACTGTTTATTTTAGATGCACATAATTTGCCCTGAGAAATGTTTTAAGGAGGAGAGAGCGCAGCTTTTTTTCCCCCGGAGCTGTTGGAGCGAATGGGATTGCCAGATGGGCGATTTCCCTCTGTGATGTTAAAGCTGTAATATATATTCAGAGCAGATTGGGCTGCTGCCTGTGATGAGGAGGATATTACATTTATAAATTTTAAATCGGAGCTCGGACAATGTGCTGACAGCAGAAATTGGATCGTTTGACTGTTCACCGTATTGATACTTAAATGTGATTTCTGAGTAGTAGTGATAATAATAATTGCAATAATATGTTAAAAAAACCCCACTCTACAAGGCATTCATATAATTCATAACATTTAACAGCAGCTAAGTGTGTAAACTGCTCCTCTCAAGTCTCTGTTTACTATTAAATAATAGTCACATAATTTATTTCTCTGTGTGCTTAAATGCCGGATGTGCAAATGATGTTCATAAGGAGTTTTGTTGTCATAACTAGAATTTGGTGTGTATGTAAACACTCTTGTATATAATTGTAAACTGGTATTAGTGGCTCCTATTTTCTAATTCTATGACTCTGTGATTATTTTTAGCTTTTGTTTATCTCAACTGTGTGGCCTAAAGGTACCAGAGCTAAAAACCTGAAAGGCTAGAAAGTGGGCAAGTGCTTATACTCTGGCAGCTCTGCTGTTGCAAATTAAAAGTGTGTTGTGGTCAGGAAATGAAAGCTACAATGTCTCTTTTGAACAAGTCGTTTATCAAGAGAAACATCTATCAGGGACTGCCTTGTCACATTGATCCTCTAAAAGTTAGGTCCGAGGTGGAAGCTGCTTTGATGTTTTTGATCCTAAATTTAATACAACAGGAAAAAAAAAAAAGGAAAGATATTTTGACCAGTATAGATTTTTTCAAAAAATATTTCCTGGAACCAACAAAATCTATTTATTAGTGTTGTACTATGTGTCAACTTTTCTAGCCATCACAGTTGAAAGGCTGAAGGGGAAATCCTAGGCTTTATAAATTGATGATATAAAAGTACACATTTATTATACATTAACTTATGACTGGCTTCTTGGTTGATATGAACAGTTTAAAAATAGATTGTTCAAAAGGAAAATTATTTTGAAAGAGTGAGTATTTGGAAGAATATGAAGAGTCAGTTTTTTATTCATTTAAATTTTAGACTTCTCCTCTTGTTCTTTCTGTCTTTTACTTCTTTATTCCTGTTTCCTGTCATTTTATTTGTGAAAAATTTAGCTTTAATTTGAGAAAGAAACAATTTTTTCATGTAAAAACTGTTCCCCCCAAACGTGCTTTCACCCATCATCGCTATTGTTTATTAACTGTGCATGTGGATGGCTAGCAGTATGAACTACATGGACTCACAACTCCTTTGCAATTTCAGTTTAAAAAGAGAAGTATCAGATTAAACATGGCATGTATTCTTGAATACTGATTATATTGAATGGATTATTCAAAATTTAAAAGGTATTGTTAAGAAAAATGACAAAGTTTTTTTTCCCCAAAAAAACATGTTGTGAAACATTTAAAAGCAGCCTGTTTTATTTTTGGAGGCAAAGATAAGATAGAAGTATTCTTTTTCGAAATACAATTTTTGGATACTTGCTTTATGTTACTGGTGGCCACTTGCTATTTCATGTGGGTCTATTTAAATAGGCAGGGGAGAGTGTAGTGGGAGTTTTAAGAAGTATAATACTTGCTAATTAATCATGTCTGAAATGAAAGAATCATAGCAGGGTAATAAAAATCTCATTGTTTTCCTGGAAGAGAGTAAGACTTCTGTTTGGAAGCTGTACATGTGAGTTGACTCGCTTTTCTTTTCTCCTCAAAAGCTTGCTTATAGGTGGAATTATTTTAAGAAACACATTTTTAGGGAGATTTTTTTTTCTCCTTACTATACCAAGTCTGTGAGATTCTTAAAATTGTATCTGATATTTTCTGAGTGAAAACAGATTTTTTTTCCTATGGTTATATTTAATATTCCTGCAGCTTCATTTCCAGTGCTATTTTTTTTCCATAAGTGATATATCATTTTTGGTTGTTTTCACTAATGTTAGTCAGAAACTTTGAAAATGTTTTGTAGGCAGCTACTTTGGATAGACATAGAAGAGAGCAGAAATTCATTAATTACTTTCAGATAATACATGAGTGTGACCAGGGGGGAGAAAATAAATAGCATTTCCAAGAATCCATAGAAACCATCCGTATTATTACTTACCATTTCTACAATAGTTTTAAATACTGTATAAGCCTCCTGAGAAGATAAATGAATAATTTCATTACCCGAAAATTCTTTTTTTCCCCTGTGTTCCAGGTTGTCACCTTTTAGAATTTAGTATTTTGTTTAGATTGTGCATAGATGCAGATCTAGAAAGTTTGAATGTCTGCAACATTTTTCAGAATTTTCATCTCAAGGTGGAGACAGGCTATGCTAATACTTCCCTGTTTTTGTCTGTGTGAGTGTTTGGATGCCTTGAATGATTGCTTAATTAAGTAATCAGTTTTAATGGCCCCAAATCAGCAGAATTATTAGGTGTATTTGAAACAATTGCAGGCTTTTATGTTTTGAACTTTCTGGTTTGTTCTTAGAACCTTGGTTTAATAGCAATGTTTTACCTTCGATCAATATATTCTGGAATAGAAATTTCATATACTACTTTTATAAAGTATCACATTCATTGTCACAGAGCTAATAAATTTAATTACTAGGAATGTAAATTGATTTGTAAATTTTGATTGGGAGAAATTGTTCTGCAGACATTTGTGGAAATACTGTTACTGATCAATAAGCATATCTGCTTTTCTTTGAGACATTGATAAATTAGAAGAAACAAATGGTATAGAAAAAGATGCAGTTTTCCCTTCATTTAAAAATCTTTATATTGTGTATTTCTTTTGAGATATATAAAAGATAATGTTTTATTAATAAGTTGAACTTAGAAATCATTTTTTTGGGTATCACATAAAAGATTGCAAATCTAACAGTTGTTACACATATATAAACAAGGATTATACCAACTTTTTTTTTTTAAGACTGAAGACACAGCCTGTTTAGCAATATTTTTTCATGGTTGAATTTTGTCATTTTCTTCTTTTTTTACCAATTTTGAATTTTTATTATAAACTTTTTTCATGTATCTTCTGGCAAAAATTCAAGCATAGCTGCTTTGGCGTAATTGCTGATTGCTGATGCTTTTTATATTTCTGATGTTATGTAAATTACAGTTATACTTGTGGGATAATTACTAAAGGAAATGCAGATAATAGAAATAAGAATGGGCAATAATATGTTCAAAATAAATTGAGTTGATGAGTTTGAAGCAAGTGAAAGACAGGTGGGTACCCTAAGTTTCCTCAGGGCAACTGCATAGGTGTCTGCTCAGCTCTGCCTGAGGACAGAACATCCCTGCGGTACCTGTTGCCCAGACTGGTCTTAGCTGAGGCTGAGAAGGCAGACAAGATAGGTGATTGAAAACCATCAAAACATGAGATATCATATGGCACTTTCTGTTAACAATATTTACACATTTTATGCAATAAATCTGCTTGTTGTCTCATTATTTGAATATTGACACTTTACTTAACATTGCATATGGTGGGCTGTTGTTTCAGGGTATTATCAGAGGCAGTAAATTCAAAGAAGAATTTCAATTCAGATGTATTTATGTTAAATATATGTATAAATGGATATGTTTGCTCATATTTTAGCTACCATGACTTTTGCAAAGCATTTATAGTATCTCTGCTTCCA